TTAACAGAAAATTACCCTTGAGCTGAGATTTGTTTATCTGACTAAATCAAATATTTAAAAAAAAAAAAAGAAAGTTTGCCACATGTCGAGTTCTATCGAAAGGACGGCAGATACGACTGGCCGGGTTCTAGTATAGAATTGTCGGATCACATTTAGTTCGGCTACTGGAAGCATTTGTCGAATCGAGTCCAAGTACGAAAATTCGTACCCTTGCAAGATACTAATTTGAGATGCACTAACGTATAGTTATTATGCATTTCCGTTTAGATTAAAAAACCAAAATACTTGTTTTTTGTTTTTGAAGAATTGTAATTTTCTGAAAAAAGACATTTTTTTTAAAAATTAAATCTCTTTCTAAAACAGTCAGTAAAGCAACATACAAGTTTGAACTGAATTCTCTCTACTATTCTCAATACACTTTTAAGTTTTAAATAAATAATGTATATCATTTTCTTCGAGTTGACACTAGTAATTTATATGAGAATAAAAGTTTAAACGAATTGAAATCTTTGACATCATTATTTAATCAATAATTAAAGCAAATATATTACGAAGACGTCTAGAAAATGGTCATAATATTGTTCTATGGAAAAACAAGAAAGAGGAAGGGTGTGAAGTCTCTGCGTGTGGATGAAGAGAATATTTGCACACACACCCACACCCACACCCAAAAGCTAAATTTCTATATGAGAAGCAAGTCAAATATGAAAGTAAAATAAAAAATTGCTGCTCATATGCTCTAATTTTGAATCTTTTTTATTACTTTGAAATTGATATGATTATTTGTTAGACATTTCTATGAGTCACATTTAGTGAAGAGAAAAACTATTAACTTCAATTGTGAAATATTTTAACTGTTACATATCAATTTCTAAAATATCGTCATGGAGTTTTAATCATATGTTATGATAATTTTTGAAATTTCAATCATTTTTTAATTGTCAAAGTTCATTTGAATAACATAGAATTTTTATTGTATTGTATTTAGAACAATTCAATATACATCTTGAAAAACCAGAGATCATTATCATGTCTCAATGTTTTCTTTTCTCTTTCCTATGCATGATTGGTTTTGTCGGTGAATGTTTTATTCTTTTACAAATGCATGTTTAGTCGAATTTAAAACAACTTTAATTGATGGCTGCTCTCATTTTCCTAATCTACCTTGTTCTCTTCAAAGTCATATCAATATATCTTTTTTCTTTTATAAATTTTTATTATTTTATCATTTGTTGATTGCCATTAGCATGATATATATACGGCATCGCACTGTTCGCTTCTCACAGTGTGTCTACACTTTTTTCTATTCTAGGAGATATTATTTTTCGTACTGATCTCATTTTTTATTCTGATCGGATTGTTTGTTACTCTGTTTCATGTCTTCTTTTTTTACTCTTATCGTTAGAAAGTTTAATGCTTCACAACGTCGATGATCAATTGTATACACTCTATGAGAGAATAAGATTATCGAGTAAGCTCGATAAATGCTGTGCTTATGATCATTCAAAATGTGCGCTTTTTTACCGAGGGACAACAAGAATGAACCAACAATCGAATATTGAAGAAGAAAACTTAATCATAACATTTAATGCTGGAATAATTTCAATCATTCATGCGACATTCTCTTTATTTTGTCTCTAGGCACTATTATTAGAAAAAGAAAATCTATGTTTGTAAAATATTTATATTTACTCGGTAGAAATATGGGGTAAAGAGAGACATTTCAATAACATTGTGAATAGATTGTATTTAATATTGAAAAATTGTATTTCTATGTATGAATAAGAATAAACTTAGAAACTAAAATCTATTTAGCAACAATGGTTTGAAACAAATCATATTATTTGTTGTCTAGTAATTGACCCTCCTTTTTTTTGATTTCTTAATCTTTGAAAATGTCCTAATTTTTCGATTTGCTAATGAAAATTCTGATTCTCCTAATATTCGCAATATTTTGTTGAAAGTTTGCTTTTTAAAATCGGGGGGAATTGAAATATTCTCCTACTGAACCGATCGCAACTTTGGTAGGTTCATACTTGCACGGTTATGATGTGTTCTTTTATTATATTTCATCTCTTTTTAAGATTTTATTAAATTAGTTTGTAGAATATTTTTCGCAAAGTATGATATTATGTCGATTTTATATTTATTCGAAAAATTTATCCTTTTAGTGTTTCATAATCGGTTGTATATATTATTTTTGAAAATTATTTTTAACTTAGGAAGCCTATATTTACATACGTTGAAATAATGATTGAAGTTAGAAAATACAGGATATCCAAATATTATAGGACTGCATGCCAACGTTGTTGAAAAAAACATCTCTTTAATTTTAAGGAATAGCTAGAGTCCTGCGTAACAAACTTTTCCCTAAATTTTCTACTGATCCCGTAAAATCTCGTTTGTTCCGTTGACTGCAAGGCGATCGACTGGATGGGTGTGAGTGTATTAGAAGTGAATACTCACACCCACACCGTTTAAGGAATTTCTATAGACATCTTATATATATTCAGATTGTTTGTTTCGTACTGCCATGAGCTCGATACAAATCTGAATAGTACAAATAGCAAAAAATATTTTAAATTAAAATTTCATTTGATCCTGGCTTCGGATTGTTCACTTTTTTAAAATTTCAAGTGACTTTTGAAATACGGTTACAACTGCTCGCTGCTTTCATTATATACTATAGAAATAACAAATATTCTATGTTAATTATTTACGATGGAAAAAAATAGTGTTCGTAAAAACACAAAGATAAACGAAGGTACTATTGATACATCGATTGTACTTTAAGCTTGAAGGGAGAGAACGAACGAAAAAAAGAATTCACTTGTCTCGCTATGAAGAATCGAGAAAAAAAATGTGTTTCTATTGTCTTTAGTATTCAGCGAATAAGTCTGACTTAGACGATAAAGCAAGTACCCTTCTGCTGTTAATAATTCAACTATTTATTATTTTTAGAAGTACAAAGCGATTATTCATCTTAAAATGAAAACTGTGAGTCTATTTATAAAATTACAAAGACAAGCATACAAAGAGGGAACACGGTAATACAAAATATGAAAGAAGAAAAAAAAGAAAAAGAACTAAAGGCAGTAATGGGGGAAAATGGAGAAAACACTAGAGGTTATCAAAGGAAAAAAAAATAATTTTTTCTCTATAGAAGTCCGTCTCAGTATACCACATGTTATGTTTATCTATATGTTATTGACTCAACAGAAGACCATGTGTTTCTAAATACAATGTTTATTGTTAATTTAGTATTATCAATAATACTAAACAAAAATAACTAAATACACGACAATTATATAGAATGGAAATAAATCACATCGGTAATTTCATGAGATAATACAAGAAAAATATTTCTTGATCATATGAAATCATTTAAGTGTGTTGTGTACGACAAAGTATTACTGTTGTCATAGTTATTTATCTCTTTTCTAAAACATAATATACACAATTAATAGTGTTATCTACATTAGTATAATATTTTTCTTGTATTTATTAATTTGAATTCATTATGTTATTTTACTAGTCTAGAAAGTTTGAATTTAGTTAATAAGCTCATGTATAGCTACAAGAGATAATTATGTATGTACACAACAAATATGAAATGTTATGATGTCTACATTGATATCAACGATTTCATTGTGAAACTCATCTTGGTTTTGTTAAATTGAAGCAATATTTTTTTTGTAAGTTATGTTCACGTGAAAGTCATATCTAAAAAGAAAGATGTTTTCAACAAAAAAAAGTCTACAAAAATAAATACACTATCACAAATTATGTCAGATGTACTACGAAGCAGAATTTGGATAAGTCAAAACAAGCTGTTGAATTGTTGCTGTACTATTTTTATATTTTTCTACTGCATGTTTTAACTCTGTCACACTTTCTTTCAATTTCGGATCTTTATATTCATATGTAACAATATTTAATCCAGGAAAATTGAATAATAATAATTCTTTTAAATTAATCAATAGATCTGGATTAGGAGCATAAGTACCCGATCCATTATCGAATACTAATTCCCATTCATCATCACATCTATCCCATCCATATTTTGGACGTGGATGAAATTCTCCAGCATAACGAACAT